AGAAAGGGGAGTTTGACCCCGACGCACCGGCTGCGTTGAGGCTCGCTCAGCTGTTGGGAAGGGACGCTACTCCGCCGCAAAAGGCGGCTGTCAACCTGGCAGAAGCCGAGGAGTCAGACTCAGAGGACGAGGTCGGCGAATGCCAGCTGAGGCCTCGTCGCTGCCAGAGGTTGATGTGCGCTCGGTAGGGCCACGGGCTACATGGAGGGCACACATACTGTCAGATGTGGTGCACCTGTTGAAGCAGAACCAGACATCTTTCAGGTGCGGGCGGTTGTCAACCTCGAACTACAGAGAGGTTGGGCCAGAAGAAAATCTGGGCACCATCGTGTTCTGTAAAGTTTGCGGTCAATCGGCCTAACGGGTCTCCACCGACTGGGGTGAGTATCCCCCAATCGAGCTGGTGGGGCAAGGTCGGCTCAGAAGGTAGGGGCCAACCTAACGGGTCCCAAACAGCTGGTGAGGTTCTAACCTCCTCCCAAGCATGCTGGTGGGGCAAGGTTGGAGCGGTAGGGTGGCGCCGACCTGGGTCGGATTACCCATCAGCAGGGGAGAAAAGGTCCCCGCCTCCATTCGCATGGCGTCGTGTGTAAGGTAGCCTCCCTTCCTTGGCCAGGTACTCCGCTAATGGCGCTGCTCGACTCCGAAGCCTCCTTCAAAGCCAGATGCGACGCGCTGGCGATGAAGGCGGACCACTATGACAAGCTGAACACGAACGGCGTGAACACCTTCTCCAAGTACACTTTCTGCTGCGCCTACAGCCCCAACCAGGGGAACGATGACGCCCTGTTCACCTACCTTGAGTCCCTCTTCTGTTCGAAGCCCGCAGGAGGGGAAGCTGCCATCTTTCGCCGCCTCATGTTTGAAGCGCATGCAATGTCGCTCTCCGACCTGGAGGCCAATATCCAAAGAACCGCCGAAAGCGAGGCTAAAGTCTTACCCTCAGCTGAGCGGGTGGCCCGCTTAGAGAAACAACGCTCTCGCCTGGGCGGGCTCATCTTCAATGAGGACACGGAACCCAGCCACAAACTGGTAGATAAAGCGTGCCAACAATTCGAGAACGGGATCATAGAGTACATCCACCCGGGAAAGTGTGCCTCCCGAAAGATGGAAGCAGACTCACACAAGCTCGAACAGACTTTCGTCATCGACCCTTCAACAGGGAACCTCAAGGGCTCCAAAAAGGAGACGGAGACCATGTGTCCAATCAATGATGGACTTCGCCTACATGACGCCCTGCAGCGTCGGGCGCTGGCCTATGATCAGGCTGGCGTCTTTACATACCAAACGCTGCAGCTCTGGTCGCAGAAAATGTTGGCTGTCCTGCAGTCTGACCCTTCGCAAAATTCACCTTCAAGCAGTTGTTCGAGGCGGACAAGTTCCTCTTTGGCAGGATTGCAGAGGACACGCGCGCCAAACTGTCCCCAGCCTCTGGTGCGGCAGCAAAACCTGCCGATGCCAGACTCGAACACTGGATGGTCCATCCAGAGGTAACTATGAGGCTCATCCCCTTGCCGCTAGGCAAAGCATCAAACAATCAACGTCAACAGTGGAGGGGGAGCCACCTGCCAAAAGGCAGAAGAAGAAAGCGAAGAAGGACAAGAAGAATGCTGATGCCAACAAGGATACCCACGCTGACAAAGGGAGGGAAGACAAGCCTAAGTTTCAGCTGCCAGAAGGCTGTGTTGCCAAGATGCCAGGGAAGCCACTCTGCTTCCTCTTCAGTCGCGGGGTATGCAAGCGCTGCCCGCCCGGCAAGCGTTGCGATAAAGGCTATCATTTCTGCTGGCGTCAAGGATGCCACGGTCTACACCCAGGGCTCCAGTGCCCCAAGCTGCAGTGAATCAGTGACGTAACGCAGCCCCCCAAAGGGGGGCCACTACAAGGAGCACACCCGCCAATCTGCCTTGAAGTGTTTGCTGGCTGCGCTAAGTACAGTGTGGAACTTCACAAACTGGGATTCTTGGCAGTGCCTGTGGATGCTCCTTTCAATCCTCATCGCACGCGCAAATCGGTTTTCGCACTGGATCTCAGTGACACGGCGGGGCAAGCCACGCTGTTGAGCATGATCCAAGCCCTTCCAATTCGGTATATTCATTTTGCTTTACCTTGTGGGACTTTCAGTAGGGCCAGGGATAAGCCCCTGCCCAAACATATTACGGATCGGGGTGTTAAATCACCCCCACCGCTGAGGGATGCCGCACACTTATCAGGTCTCCCACACCTGGCGCCCAAGGACTCCAGCAGAGCTCCTTCGGCAAACGAGCTGTGCGGCTTCGTGGTCTCTGTCCTCTACGCAATCTTCTTGGCTGGACAACCCGTGGTCATAAGCATCGAGAACCCCCTTAACTCCTGGCTTTGGCCATACCTCGATTCTCTGGTCAAGGCAACGGGAGACGATGCTTTTATGCAGTGGTGGTCCGCATTCCAGGACGTCATCTTCGACCACTGCATGTTGGGGGGCACCAGGGACAAAGCAACCCGCTGGCGAAGCACGCCAGGTGTGTTCTCCCACATGGCCCCCAGATGCTCCAAGGATACTCCACTCTCCTCTGTCGCACCGCGGCAGCATGCCTACAACACCACTGGAAGTGGCAACCTCCGGTTTCCATTCCTGAACGAGCGGCTTTGGCGCTCTCTGGGAAACAAAAAGCTGCGTGCCCGCCGCTGCTGCCCGAGTACTCCTACACGTGCCGCCTCCAGCAAGTGCCTCCAGGTAGGGACTATAAGGTGCTGCGTTCACTGGCTGCTCCAGAGGGGGAAGTCTTCGGGGGAACGCAGGACGACATTCACTTGGACTCCGTCGTTGGTGTCTACGCCACACCACATGAGTTCCTCTATAGGCCCAGTTCGTCCCTCATCCTCTCGGTCAGGAAAGTGACACCGTCCATGACGTCCTTAAGAGAACCATCCATTCAAGGCTGACTACCTCCGAAGAGGAAGTCGTGAAATGGCGCGACAACTTCCTCTCCTCTCTTAGGAGACATGCCCAAGAAAATGAAGAAGCTGAGAAAGAGCTCCACGGCAACCTCCATCCCGAAGTGGAGGAGGTCGTCAAAGGTTAAAACATTCTCACCTGGAAGTGGGCCCTTTCCCAGCTGGGGTACGATGACGAGCAGGCCACTGCTTTCGACGGACGGTGTTCCCATGGTTGGCAACCATGATGCCCCGCCAATTTATCCGGAGATCCTCAAACCAGCTAAGGAAGTGGTTGAGACTCTCGAGGCCACGGCAGGTTGGAGGAGACAAGCGATTCTGTCCAAGAAGCCGATAAACACTGATCCTGAGGACCTCAGTCAGATGTGGTCGGAGACCATGGAGGAAGTCCAAGCTGGCTTTCTCCAAGGACCATATCACTCGCAACAAGAAGTGACGGCCAAACTCGGTACTGAGTCTGTTCCAGGCGCTTCCTTATCTGGCAGAACGAGAAGGCGAGGGTTATCGACGACCTAAAGGAGTCCCAGATCAATGACTGCTTCACAGTCCGGTCTAAGCTCGCCCTACAAGACACTGACTTTTGGATCAAAATCCTGGGGAAGGTCTTGCGATCGTTGGAAAGTGGCGCCAGTCGACGCGTCCTCAGTGACGGCGAGGTCCTCGAGGGAGCCATCCATCCCGACCCTCTGGCTTCCCCCTTTCTGGGGAGAGGGGTTGACCTCTCGAAGGCTTACAAACAAGTCCCGGTATCCCCAGGTTCCAAGAAGCTGATGGTCCTGGCGGTATGGAACGACAAGCGCTCTGACTACTCCTTCTTCTTGGTCAACTCCACCCCGTTCGGGGGGAGTGCGAGCGTGTATGGGTTCAACAGGATATCGAGAACCTTGTGGTGGTTGATGGTCCTCGGGCTGGGTTTGATAGCCACCGCCTACTTCGATGATTTCCCGACCGTCGAGAATCAAAGGCTCGCGGATATGACGGAACTCCACCTGTCGAATCTGCTCGACCTCCTCAACTGGAAGCATGCCACAACGGGACCTAAAGCCAAACCTTTCGACCAGACCTTCTCGATTCTGGGAGTGGAATACGACCTCAGCATGTTCGCTAAGGGTACCTTCCGAATCAGGAACAAACCTGGCCGTGTCGAACAGATACTCGCTGTGGTCAAAGAGGCCGAGCAGAAGGG